TCTAAAAAGGACTAATATGTCAGTCTCCTAGAGCCTTCATTTGCCAAACTAAATTGTAGCTAACAGTACCCACTGCAGAGAGAATAAAGGCAACAGAGATTCCATTTTGTATGAAGAGTTATTGCACTTGACATGGTTGAAAACATATTAACAGATTTTAAGACCAAAAGGGGACTATAGGATATCAAACCAGACTTACTACACAAGAGAGGCCAGAGCATTTCACCTGTCAGTGAACAAGTTTATGAACTGAGGTTGATTTGGAGCAAAGTTTTGAGGATGATATTCAGCTTGGTCATGGCTGAAAAGCCAAGAACCAAACAATCTCTTTTGCATCTTCTTGCAGAATGTTTAAAAGCTCTCATAATTTAAAAAGTAGTGCTCTGTATTTGATTTTTTTACTTGTTTTGATCATTGCATCATATTTTATTTTACCCTACCACTGGGCTATCTGAGGAGAATGAGGATAATAAAGTTAGGGAGAAAAGACAGAGGTTTTGTAAAACAAAACATTTTGAGTTTTAAGAGACTTAGGAGTCCTTAAGAGATTTAAGGAGGCTGTGCTTTCATACATTATGATATCCCATAATATGTAATAGGTTCTGATCTCACTTTTGCCCTTGATGCCCTCAAAATACTTTTTTTTCCTAGTCTGCTAAAAACCAGTAGGCAGGATAATGTATAAGTAATATCCACTGGATATTCACACTTTCATACACGAAGAACAAAAATCCTGCTTCAGTTTGGATCCATGCTCCAACAGACCCACAGATTCATTTCCAAAGCATTTGATCATAAGAGCCCACCAGACCCATTGTTTACAGGCCAAGGTGAATTAGAAAGCAATCACACCCTGACCTTCACTGTCCTTACTGTTCAGAACAGAAGTTCTCATTGATCTAGAATGCCTGTAGTTTCTCTCCAAAGTTATAAGTGTTCACAGAAAGTGGTTATCCTTTACAAATGATTGCACTCATCTCCAGATGATTCCTTTGATTCTCATCCAACATCAGATCCTCTGAATGATTTCTCATGAGATTCCCCTCCCTCTCACCACTGAATTTCTCTAGGCAGGAGAAGATGAACTTCAGAGATGTATTTAATATTGTACATAAAAATCTTCACACGCATGACACAACTCACTGTCGCTTTTAACAGCTCCTTCTTCAGGTTCCTCATGAAGCTTATGGTAGAGGTGAGAATTCTGAGGCTATGTAACACTTCAATCCGTAGTAAGCTCTCAAATATTTAAATTGTAGATACATCTAGACTGTTTTTAATGGTAAGGCGTAATGATATGTAGGTAGATGAGGAAACGTAATTTCTGTATAACTCATCCAAAACTAGCTTATCACATTTTATCCACATTCAAATGTCTTATCTGAAACTTGGCTCAGCAGGAAATGGTAACATGTCAAGGATCCAATTAACATTATCTCACTCCCCTGTTTTTATCTCAAATTTTTCTGCCTTATGGGAGCTGCTTCCAGTTCTGTTGTTACTCACAGTGAAATTGATTGATTTTTGGCATTGTTCTGATTTGCTGATACCTCAAATACTACTGGAACCTCTGAATTTTTATGAAATATGAACCTCCCCACAGAAGAAAATCCACTCATGAGTGTGCCATCCGAATTCTGGATGGTTACTTCTTTGCTCTGTCTGGATTACTTTGTGCAAACTGTGAAACCTTCTAAACACAAATGTTATTGAATGGTCCATTTTGTAGAGTGTACAACATCAAAAGGAACACGAGTTTGAAGTACAGTCAGCTTGCCAAAATCAAATTTAAAAAGAGGAAACTGGAGTGCTCTATAACAGGGAGAGTTAGAAACATAATTGTAAGCTGTATTTGATACTAAGGAGTATGAATAGGAGGGGTGAGAGAGGTCCATGATGAATATATTTGCACACTAAGATAATTATTGTTTGTGAATAAAGGAGCAATTATCTACTGCAATACAATGAGCAGCAGAATTTTGCTGGACTTCTTGCAATAACAACCATAATATCCTTGCAAGGCAACACCAGAAAGGAGTGTTGGGTTCTTAGGTAAGCAACTAAATATATAAATATAAACATAAACATAAATATAAATATAAACATAAATATAAATATAAATATAAATATAAATATAAATATAAATATAAATATAAATATAAATATAAATATAAATATAAATATAAAGTGATTTTTAAAGTGAATTGCTTTTCATCAGAAACCGCAGCAATACTCTGGATTGCTTTATAATAATACTTTGGATTTTGCTTTATTTTTTCCAAGATTTCCAGTTACATTATAAGGATCTCATGAGTGTGCTGAGCTGGAAATCTTTTTACCTTTGTTGTTCTAGAAAATTTTCCAGCCTCCATTTCCTCTTTAAGTGATTATCTGCCACACAGCTGTTAGTATAAATTCCAAGCTATGAAGGGTCATTCACCAATATAGAGAACTGTGGGAGGTAGAACAGGAAAAGAGAGAAACTTTCTGTCTCCAAACTGCTCCCTTAATGCAGTCCAAGACAACTAAATATACAATGTGATTTAGGATCTGGTTTTTTACATGGTTAAAAATCTTGCCACTATATTTTTTTCTACTGACTTATATCAGTTTTGACTTATTATTTATCTGTATTTAGCAACAGCTGTTGTTCAAGTTCCAATATACTCAATTGATTACTAGGAAGCATTTATTTACCATCTGTGTGAAACTAAGAGAATGAAAATTAGAATACTGAATTAAATTGAAGTTGGTAGCATCCACTGTGGAGGCAAGCCATAAAAAAAAAGAAAATAATCCATAGTGGATCAGTTTTCACTCTCTTCCTTGAGCTTCTTTCCTGCTTGTAACAGACAGTGGGGTTTACCCTGCAAAGCAGTATGGAAAACAGCATTCCCCAGGGAGAGGAGCAGCATCTTTTTGAGATTAATATCTGTAATGTCTTGGGAACTAGTGTTGCCTTGGAGGAAGGCTATCCATACCAACATAAATCATGTCCTCCCAGGGGAGTCTGATAATCTCTCTAGCCCAATATATACATAGTCACTAGGGATGCGAATAGGAATCTATATATGAGAAAATATGAACAAGAAATTACTAAGCTACTTGCACAGTGTGCACAGGGATACAATGTCAGCATCTCAATATTATTTGACCCTGATCTGGGATGAGCTCAGATGTGTGCAAGCCTTGATTCAAAGCACATGGAAAATGGCATGCAGATCCTTATAATGAATTTTTGAAGGAACGCTCCAGGCTGTGCCTAAGTGGGAGTGACTCCTTCAAATCTAGCTCTGATCATTAACTCATGAGCACAGCATGATAATGTGCTTCAGCTGGGGATGCCTTTGGAAATGCAGGTAAGTGATGGAGATGTACACGTGAGCAGCACGTTATCTCCATGTCAGCGTACTGAGCTGCAAGCTCTGAGGGAAAGCAATGGGCTGCAGTTTGCAGAATGGCTGTTAAAATACTCAAATTCCTTGGTGTTAAAAGCAGATTAAGTACCCTCTTAAAGTGAACAGTTTTAGGTACCAAGTCAAATACTTACTGATTCAGCCCAGGAACTCTATTTAAAAATACCATTTCGAAGCAAATTGCTATAAAAACAAACTTCCTCTGCCCTGTTAGCAGCACAATTCCTCACACTCATACTTGGACATGGCAAAGCTCTTAAGCACCTATTAATGCCTATATCCTCTCATCAATTTTTAATATTTGAGATGCCTCTGATTCCTGTGAGCCCTGCCACTAATGTTAAAAATGTTTTTAAATATTTGGTTACTAAAGTTCAGCTCCAAAAGCTATGGACCTTAGCTTATGGACACCTTGTAGATTGTTTTGAGGATGTGAAACTACAAATATCACAGTAAGTGACAGACAGGCACTTTTATTTTGAGGGTCCTCAGCATGATACTCCCAAAGAATGCCTTCTTAGGAAAGTACTTTGTCATGTTTTTAATTCCTTTTGAATTTTATGATCTTGAAGCATATGTCTGAATTTTGAACAGGGAGTGGCATACAGCCCAAATTTAAGAAGTGTTCTTCTGAATCTGTGCCCAAAGTTTTCATGAATCATGAATATGTCTATTCCCACTGTAACACTTCATTTTTCAAATAGGTTGCAAGACCACATTGAAGAGAAACTTGCTCGCAGGCTCACAAATATTGGTCATTCATAATAAAACCTACAGAGCAAAAATATCTTTGCAGTGTAGATACCAGACACCTGTTTATGGTATTACCCCATTACTTTGGGATTTGAGAACTGCAAAAGTAATGGCAACAAGAGGCAAGGAAAAAAGAGAGAGAAAGCCCGTACTTCAGTGATCCCAACCATCCTTTTGATTTTTGACAGCCAGTCATTCATTTACTGCCTCTCTCATGTCTAGTAAGTACAAATGCTTTCCTCAGTAAAATGCAAATGTGCTTTCACAAACAGCAAAGGAAAATACCTGTACGTTTGTCAGAAATAGACTATTTTCATTGAAGATAGAAACTAGGTTTTTAGTGAGAGTTTTGCCTTTCAGCTCCGGGCTCCAGCTGGACTCTAGCTGATTCCTTTTGTAACAGAGGCCAGTTACTTTTGAAAGCACTCTGCTTTCTGCTCACTGTAGAAAAACCTCAGCACATTTCTGCAAGAAATCAAAGGTATAGCTCTTTCTCCTCAGGTTCAGAGTGTAATTCATAGTTTTAAGATGTCTCCTCTCCAGACAGAAGCAATGAATGTAGAAAATTGTTTCATTTCCAGACATACACCTCAGGTTTACAATCCTTCTCTCTCTTTCTCCTCTATTTCTCTACCACTCACATCACCCAAGAAACAGACATATGCCAGACAAACACCATGACTACCTTCACTAACATCTGTTTGAGGCCAATTTCAATGCTATTGCTACTTTTCCTCTCATTCTGTATGTATGAGCTGGTATTAAAATCTCCAAGGAAAGTAAATGCATGAATCAATGTGTCTGAATCAAACAGGCTGAACAAATGAAGCGTATGTATAAAAACCCCCATGTGTTATGTTTGTACATTCAGGCTCTGTGCTGAGCATCACACATGGCAAGGGGCACATTGTGGAGGCCACATGCAGCTTGTCCAGGAAAGGCAGAGCAGACAGGGCAGGCAGAGGGAGACAGACCTTCCATGAAAGTTGTCACAGCCTTCCTTGAAAAAAGGTGTGGGAAGTCTCTGTGGCTGTGATGCTTGTCTGTGCTGCTGCCACACAGGTCTCAGAGGAAAGGACCAGCAAAGAGCTCTCCCATCGAGCCACCAAGAGCAGAGGAGAAGCAGAACAGAGCATCAGAGGGCATCAGGAACCAGGGCCAAAAGACCTAAAGGTGTGGTGGCTACTTTTGAGGTCAGTGCACAGAAGTTCTTCCAAAGTGAGATGTTTTCAGAAAATACAGCATGTCCGTCCTGGGAAGAAAAACAGGGAGAAGGGGAGGTGCTATCAGAAACTGTTTTTGGAAATTGCTGCTGGATAAGCGTGGTGTGTATTACAGCTGTTCCCATTTCATTTGCCCCCACAGAAGCTGCCTGTAGAAGCAAAGTTTATCCCAGTGCTGCTGAGAGTGGGTGAGCACTCACGTGCTGGCTGACATGGGGTCAGCTTGTTCAGAGCCACTTCCAGCCCCACATTTCCTTGAGCACTTGCTGAGGAGACAGTGCTTGCACTCTCTAGCCTTGTCAGTCCAGTTCAACCCCTTGTCAATAAGGCAGCCTGCTGCTAGCCAGTGAGTAATGGCCACAGCCACTGTGTATGTGCCACACTGACACTGTCCCCGGCCCCGGGGGCTCTCCCTCTTCCACTCATCCATCCTACGTGTAATTCACGTAATTCAGATGTGTCACAGTCAGCCACCTCCAGCTCCCCTGTCCTAGCAGCCACAGTCTGTTAGAACACTTTTAGCAAAACAATAGAAACTGGTAGCTGACTAATAAGGGAGAAGGATGATTTGGATGGAACGTGTGAGGGTGATAGATACCTTTTCGTAGTGTTCAAATTTGCACCTTTCATGTAGCTGTAGTGTAGCTGTGGCTGAAAACTCCCTTCATTCTGCCATTCTGTCTTGTCCATGCTGAGTGTGAACAGTACATGATCCAGGAACCAGATCTGCTTCATACTCTATAATGTTCTGAAGACTGGTGTCACTGCTATTTTGCTTTATGTGATAGCAATAGGCATTTTTGCAGGAGAAAAATATGTACAGGAAGCTCTCCAAGGTCAATATAATAGTCTAAATAGCCAGATGCTATTTCCCTGTGAATTACAAGGTTGAGCAGCCAAACATCTCTTAGTCATGTAAATTATGAAAATTCTGAGAACTGCAGTGCAGACAAAAAAAATCTGTGGCTGCTGAATCATTTTCTCTGGTTCAGAAATGACCATATCTTACCGTTTTGTTCCAGATTTTATTTGCATTGCATGATTGTGTTTTTTCCTGTCAGATATAGGAATGAAGCTAACATCTTTGCTTTAGGATATTGCTCTTTTATTATCAAAAAGGCATTCATCAGACTTGCAGAGATTTTTTTCAGACATGGAGAAAATAATAAGAAACGAGAATTTAGCTATTTCTTTTAAGCTATCTGCAGTTAAAGTGATTATTAAACCCCAGGACAGGTTTAAGGGTAATCCAGATGAATATTGTTTTCATCAAAGCAATAGTAAAGTCATCTGCTTTTTCCTTGTTGCCTTAGGACTGACATTAGTAGATATACCAAGTGAAACCGGGAATTATTTTCCTCCACTTCCTTTAAAGTTCAATTTTTATCAGTTACTGCTTGGAGTTATCTGATGTAAGAAGGACTACTTCCTTTTTGAAAAATGCCATGGACAAGGGTTGTTTTCCCACTTTCACTTGGGAAACATACTGTCTTCATGATAAAAAAAATCCCACAAGATGAAAATGAACTTCTTTTCTGGAACAATAAATAAATAAGGGCTATGCAGAAAACAAGCAGGAGTGATTTGAAGTATGTGAATGCAGAACAAATATGAGAATAGCAGCATACATTAATGCTACAGACTTGAGTCCCATCTAAGAAATAGGGGGCAAATGCTTGGTTTTTGTGGATAAAGTCAAAAGACAACTGACAAAGTAATAAAGGAAAATATAGGGCACAATGTTTCATGAAACAATTTATAATATTAGGACTGCCTGTGTCAGGACAAAGCAGGTGGAAAATGCACCTAAATTATAATAATTAGAGTTAATAGACCCTTTGCATTGTAATGAATAACTATTTAATTCACAGGTCAAAATCAGTCTCCTTGGGTTCCTCTGATATTTTTTTATTTAATAGAGTATAAGAAGATAATAGCTGAAACAAACAGCACTGCATCTGGAGGAGGTTTGTTGTCCATATAAACTCAATCATTAAAGTTAATTCTGCTTCATTGACTGTTTCCCCAATGTGATCATCCCAGCTGCTTCCCTAGAGAAAAAACATTCTTATTTTTTTTTCCTGTTCTTTTCTGTTCATCTTCCTTGGTCTTACATGGCTTCTTGCAGTGGTGCTGTCAGCAAGATGATGTCTAGTCCCAATTAGAAATTCAATCAATATTCACATAATGAGGGTTCTAGGAAAACCATGTCATTTAGTTCAAAGACATGGATATATTACTGTAGAAATTCAGGATTCAAGTAATTTAGGGCACCTCAGTGAAAAAAGATAAAATAAAGCTGAAGGGCTTAGAGGTAGTTAATTGTTACTATGGCAACTTCCTAAATAAGCTTTAGATTCTAGTCATTTTTCAGTTTATTTGGAGGCAGAACAGAATCATTAAAGATGAAACTTATTTAAAGCTCAGAACAGTTATGGGATCTTACAGTTTCCTGCTGCTCCTTATAGAGTTACTTAAAGTTTGCCCATCTCAACTTTGAACTGTGTAAAAGAGCATGATGCAGCCTGCATAGATTTAAAAATGACAGCATGTTATGTAACAATGATCTTATTTAGTAACTTTAGCAATTGCATTTTTACATTTTTATGTCTCAGTAGAACTCTTTCAAAAGTACTGTGTGGGAAAGGAGTGGACCTCAGCAAAGAATGCTCTCACCTGTCCATAAAATGAAGTTATTAAGGTCTGATTTTCAACAACAGGGGCTGATGGTGAGGGCACATTTGTCCACCCTTCCCTCCACAAACCCCCCACGTGTGGAAGGGCAAGACTACATTTTAGCCTAATCCTTAGCCAGTGCTGTAACAAATCTGATGGGAAGGGCCCAAGAGAAAGGCTGCCATATCAAAATCTTGCCATGCTGATTGTGTCCATTTGTGTTCTTCATGCGAATTAATACATTTGGCCTCTGTGGGGCTGCATCACTGGGCAGATCCAAAGAGCCTTCTACAGGCAGCAATGGAGACAGTGGAGAGACAACAGAGTCGAGAAAACTCTCAATCCCTGCACATTAATTGGGTGCAGATCCAAATCAGTCTAAACTTGTTGCATTATCTCAGCAGCTATAACTCACTTCCTTAACCACTCCACAGTGCGTGATAAACCAGCAGAGGCCATGAAATAAAATCGTGTCTCAGCAGGAGACACCCCCTGGCTTCTCACAGAAGTAAATTCATACCTCAGACCGGTTCTCTCTCTTCTGTAGGCTGGAAATTTCTGAAGTCACTGAGTCATAACTGCAAAGCTGTCAGAGAATGATGCCTTAGGTGTGAAGATACTTAGAAGACACCCCTAGAGGTGAAGGTATAAGCAGTGTAGACTAATGTGTCTTTCTCAAACAAAAAAAGCAGGTCAGGTTACTTGGCTGTGAGCTCAGTGCTCCAAGGGTGAAGAGCAGCTGCTTTGTAGGCATTCTTAAACCAGCCTCAAGGAGATTAACTGAGCAGGATGGGGAACCTGAGGTGTGCAGGTTTTGCTCAAAAGGAGGTACATGAGGGCTAGAAGAGTGACAGACTGTTTTGCACATGGTCAAGTCAATCTGACATTGTCAGAAGACAATTCCCTTTCCCACCACCTGCAAACCTGTCTGTCTTTCTGTCACAAGTAATAGTCCTGGATATGGAGAGTCACCAGCCCAGGAAACCCTGTCTGTGTTTGGTAGGCTCAGAGTGACTCTAGATTTTCTCCATAATCAGTGAGGGGGAAAGAGGCTTTGCCAGGCCATGGCCCATCCCATCCTAGGGACTAAAGTGCAGAAGAAAATTAGACCGTTCTCCCCCTATATCTTGAAAAATGTCTCTTCATTTTCCAAATGAATGTTCACTTCAATTCTGTTCACCTAAAAAGAGAAAAAAGCCTTTGTTTTGAAATACAAGTTGAACATCAAAGTTTCATGATAGAAACCAGTCATAATGGATATTAGTTCAAATTCAGACTGGTTTCATGTTACCTCATCGGGCTTAATTCTGTTGGTCTTGCTCCCTTCTTTTGTCCTCAGATAACTCCTCCAGACTGATTTCTGATTTAGAACAATAACGCTCTTTCAAATTTCACATGATTAAAAAGAAATGTGCACCCAGCTGCAAGAGAAACTGTTTTTCTCTCCCATCTGAAAAGGCTGTACCATGGGCAGGAATTCTGCACTGCCTATTGACTTGCACCACTCCTTTTCCATGGGAACCTGGTCTCCAGAGTTATAATGCAGGGAATTATAGGCAGGAGTAACTTGGCTTAGTTTATAAGAAGAGGAAAAAATACCTGCTGAGGAAAAAAACAAAGGAGAGTATGGTCTGATCCCAAACAGCCTGAGCATTATTTATTGTATTTTATTTTCTTCGCTGTTACACAACCACAGCACCCGGCTGTTTGCTGTGTTGCAAGGGAAGTGTTTTCAAGGTTAGCAGAGAGGTAATCAACCACTCAATGGTGGCATGAATATTCATATCAAGACACATTGATGAGAAAGTAGATGGAGGTAAATATGCAATTTAAATATAGACTACAGCAGGAAATGGGACATGAAACAGTAATTAAATAGTGAAAATTACATGTTATTTACATAGGTAAATACACTACAGGGGTTATGCGTGTGAACTTTTCTATTAGCATTTGTTTGTTTGTGATTTAACCCTGATTTTAAAAGGGAGGCTTTTAAAGCATGAAAATGGGAAGAAAGGAACACTTACTTTGAACTAGAAAATCTGCCTTGCTTGAAGGAATACCAGCTTGGGCTGTCAGCCAGGTTTCACAGCTGACTTCTGTACTGCAGAAGGTAGTGGTGGCAGCTCTCTAAAGCACAGGTTTTCTCCACAGCCCTGCTTATGCAGTTCCTTCCTATTTGGACATTGCCTCCTGCAGCTTCTGTGCTGCTTAATATTGAGAAATGCAGATGTTTGACAGGGACTGAGTGGTTTCTTAATGTATGAGTGTTACAAAATTGGTCTTCTGGGCAAATGCCAAGCTGGTCAGTCCCACTCTATTTTAAGGTTCACCTGAAATATGGGTTACTGTA